AGCACATGAAACCAGTTCAATCCTGTGGTTAATCAACTGTGTGTATCTGACCTGGCTTGACTAGCCTGTTGTGGCGCCTCAGGAAAAATAACTCAGACATGCAAAACTGAGTTTAAAAGGAAGGTTCAGAACAAGTCTCATTTATTTATGCTACATAAACTGTGATTGAAATGTGCAAACAGATGGGCAGGGACACAATCCGACAACGTTTTGGCATCACCGCTTTGTGGCCTTAGCCGACACTGAAATCCCGCACTAGCGCCTTGCCAGAAGGAAAGTCGAGATGCGCTTGGTCCTACAAACAACATCCACATTGTTGCAGGGAATTAAAACCCTCAAAAATGTGTTTGATGGCAGTTCAAACCTTTTTCCTAGTTTTGACGTTTTAATCTGACATTTGGTGCATGTTGAATGTATTGAAAACACCGTTCTCATATGAAGACTGGCTGCACAGACTCTTCCCTGAAATGGGAAGTTCTCATTCATATTCCAGGCATGGAATACAGGTATGTGGCACGGGCTTTGGGTTAATCAGTGTCTTTCTCCTGAGGGTTAAGATGCCTGGTATGTCTTTTAATCCTAACAGTATTTAGCCTGCCAAGGCAATAAGTCATTGGCTGGATTAACACTTGCCCTGGTGTAGAACTGAGCACGTGTGTGTGCATGTTGGCTTAGGTGAAAGTCTAGCTTAACTATTTCTTGTAAATTAGGTGCTTAAAAGCGTTGGCATTAGTGTCCAGTTATAACTGCTGCCACTGTTCTCTGCTATATTTCAGAAACTGGCTGCAGGGATTGAGTGCGGCTGTTGAGAGATGATGTGGCTCTTGGCTTAAGTTCCCTTTTATCCTGCAGGTGCTGATGGAACTGAGGTCAGGGCTTAATGGAGGCCAGTCAAGTTCAAAACAAGAAATCTCTTCATGGATCTAGTTTGTGCATAATAGTTTTGTCCTCCTGAAATTCTAACTGTTCCGGCAAAGTGGGAAGCACAATGTTGTCCAAAACTCGCTTTCCAAATGATGGGGTCCATGTACATCTACTCACATTCACACCTGTCATATGTAAATGTTTCAGAGTCAAGATCAGTGTGATGAGATATGGCATGAGCTGGAAGCACACAGCACACAACTGTAGCTGATGTTCTTGAGGATTATATTGAGATGTTGTATAAAAAAACAGAGTAAAATGATTTGTTAAAAAACCCAGAAACAGAAAATATATCAAGAAAAATAATTGCTTATTTTGGATTTGATGACAGCAACACATCTTGGAAAAAGTTGGGATAGGGCCATGTTTAACACTGTGTAGCATCCTCTCGTCTTTTAACAGCAGCCTGTAAATGTCTGGGAACCAAAGAGACCAGTCGCTGAAATTTTTACTATTCTTTATAGTATTTTAGGTTTTATGATGCTCCAAATGTTTTCAGTTGGTGAAAAGTCTGGACTGTAGGTTGACCAGTTCAGCACACCGACTCTTCTGCTTCTTCTTGTAGCCCTGCTGTTGTGCCCGATGGAGCTTGAACCTCTGCTTGTGGATGCAAACTGTGTTCACTGACAGTGACACAATCATGTCTGTTTTGAATGCAGTGCAGACTGAGTGCGTGAATATCACAGGCATCCGATACTGACTTTCAACTTTGTCTTCTGCGCACAGAGATTTCTCCAGATTCTCTGAATCTTTTTTTGATATCATGTAGATGGTGAGATATTCAAAGTTGTTGCAATTGTATGTTGAGAAACATTATTCTGAAACTGTTCTTTCTGACCTGTGACCAGTTCATCTAATTTATTGTGAAATGCTCCTCCCCCATCCCAACCTTTTTCAATCACTTCACTGCCATCAAATTCAAAATGAGCTAATATATCTTCATGAAATAATCTCTGTTTAAACATTTGATATGTTTTCAAATTTCTATTGTGAATAAAATATGGGTTTGTAAGATTTACAAATCATCTCGTTCTGTTTTTATTTACATTTTGTACAGCGTCCTGTCCTTATTTTGGGAACTGGAGTTGTAGTAGCACATGCTCTAAAAGTCTAATCTGTGTAGCATCACTCACATGGGACTCAACATTACATTGTGTGCCACGTCTACATTACCTTGTAGTTGCATTTCTGGTGTGTCAGTCAAATTTCAGGCTTGCCACTGACCTTTTCCAGTCAGCTTGAGGACCTGGCGCTGCTGATGCTGTTGCTGGGGGAGGATGTTGGATGAGAAGATTGGAGCGGGTCTGACAGCTCATTGGTCACATCCACCAGCCACACCAAACTGAGCCGGAGGAAGGCACTGAATCTCTACCAGCCACTGACCTCCCTACAGTGGCACACGAGACATTTGGGACTCCTCCATGAATCAGGGTTTTTTGCTGAAGGCTAATTTCTTCTGTGTACATAATATGTCTTCTTTCATGCATTTACTTGTAGAAAAAAAACTCTTGAAGGCTCACATATACTCTTGAATCTGACCTCACTATGTTTCTGTGGCAGCCGTTGGACTGATATTTGCCAGCTGCGGGCCAACTGAACACTGTGTCACTGAGGAATCATCCAAATCCCTTAAGCTTTGAAAGTCCCTGGCAGAGGTTTCTGCAGAATGTTGCACAATATCTTAAAAAACAAAAACAAAACCTTTCTGTTAATGTCACAGGTATGATTTTCCAGCTAAAATGTGTATTAACAATTTTACTTCCTTTAACATGTGCATAGTAAATCTATCTACACACAATCATTTGAAATCCAAGTGGTTTTGACATCAACACAATAAATTATACAATGAAATCAAATTACTCTCGTGTAAGCAAATCATTAAAAAGTTTTACATTTTTTATTTTTTCCTCATCTCTAATTGTACTCTAATTTATGGCTGCAGATGAACTCCCACACTTGCATTTGATTTTATGCAAAGATCTTTTCTGTGAGTGTTGTTGTTGTATTTGCCATTTATCATTTTAGTCCTGGGTGGTGCAAATGAAATGAGGATAATCAAACCAATACTCTCTTTCCTCGTGTAAACTGTTATTTTCTACTAATGGGAATAAATATTATTTTATTGCCAGCAGATGCCTGAGAAAATAGAAAGAAAAGTAGGTTCTGAACCAGAAACATTCAAATTAACAAAACGTCTTGTAAGCCTAAAAACACAGAGACTATTATCAATTTTAATGACTCTTAATAACTTTACATTTTTATATTCCCAACAGCAGTTTTAGTCATTGTTACTAGTAAGTGCAGCACACTGGATATGGCAGTTATAGTAAGCAAGCAATGTTGCTGTACCACACAGTATAGCACATTCTGCGAGTAAAACTGTGTGATCGAAGTTTGCCCAAACGACATGAAAACTCACAATGTACAGACAGTTCCACACAAAGTCCAGCAACCTAAGACTCCATAACCAAGGAAAAGAGGGAGGGTGAGGATTACTGTGAGAGCCATTATTCAAGATGAAAGAATGAGTATCCATGAATATATCACGAAGTTGGCCCCCCGGGGTACAGAGCTACCTGAGTGCTGCAAGGAAAAAGAAGACATACTCTGGAAGACGCGCGCCTCCATGGGGTGTTTCATCGGCAGAAAGAAAAACTGGCTGACATCCTACCGGTTGCTAGAAAAGGATCGCATATTCCAACATTAGAACAGATCCACAGAGGCGGGAATCTGCCACAGCAGAAGGAACCCAGGGTGTAAGCTGTGCAACGTTTCCCCTGAGACTGTCCAGCATGTGGTAGCATGAACATAAGATAAATAATAATAATGTATTCTTTATTGATGCCCATGGGGAAATTGCTCTCTCTGCAGCCACACCAAGGAGCAGTGTGTAGGGACACACTCTTAACAGGAGACTTGAGGAGCCAGGGATCGAACTACTAACCTTCTGATCAATAGGTGACCTGCTCCTGAGCTACAGCCACCCTCTGGCAAAGATGAGTAAGCTGTCGCTAGGTTTTGGATAAAGTGAACACTCACAAACCTGTCAAACCTGCATTTGAAACGTTGGCTACCATAGCAGTATAGTATTGCAACATGGCATTTGGGTCTTCTAACTAAAATAGGAAAATAGGAACATAAATAGTGCCATCATTGCCAGACCTGCTTGAACTTTGATCTGGGTCAGACCTGCTTGCTATGGGGGAAAGTGGTCAGAGGGCAACAGGGCTAAGGCCCTGCAGGACTTCAGGCAGCTGCTGGACAACCAACCATCCAACCATACATAGTGGTGGTTGGCCAAGAGCCGAGGACAGAGGGAGCTTACATAGATTTATTAATTCCAGCTGACAATGACATCAGACAAAGAGAGTACCAGGGGCTGAAGCAACAACAGGAGCAGACGTGGAAGGTCATGTCCAAAGTGGTTCCAGTGTTAAATAGAAGCATTAGAAGCTGTAACCCCTAGAGGCTTCGCATATTCATGTGCAACATCTGAGCTCTCTGTCCTGAAGAGTAATGCAACAAAAATACTAGAAGAACTCTTTGACGTGCTGTGCATTCAGAGGTGCTCTTCTGCATATCTTGGTTGTACAGAATAGTTAATTGAGATACTGTGAAACAGTTTGACCAGTCTCCTCTGATCTTTGAATTCAACAAAGCAGTTTCACCCGGTGAGTCTCCGTTAACTTTATAGTTTCTCTTTTCAGGCCATTCCCTATAAACCTTACAGATGGCTGTGCAGGAAAATCCCAACAGATCAGCAGTTTGGTGCTACATTCAAAGTCACTTCAGTCAGATTTCTTCCCCATTCGTATTCTGGGTTTGAACTTCAGTAACTCAGCTTGAGCATCGCTGCGCGTCTAAACGCACTGATCAGATATTCACACGAGGGATCAGTTGAACACGGGTAACTAATAAAGTGGCCAGCGAGTGTGTGCTGTTGGAAGACGTTTTTTGTGCTATATTTTTTTTGTAAAGACCTGCAGGTGGCACTGTTTTGCACACGGCTAGTGCAGCACAAAACCCAACACAAAGAGAGGGAACGAGAGAGAGAGAAAGAGAGAGCATCAGCACGGACTGCTGCACACTCCCGTCCCACCAACACACATTTCATTGTCCCAAAGCTTGGAAAAGGGACCGGGCATGTCTCCTCTTGTCTAAAGCCGCATTCAGAGCAACATTTTTGATTTTTGATTTTGATCTTTGTTGCACTTTTTCCATAATGATGAAGCTGCACAGTCAGACCGCGGAGCTTCACGGGCTTTGACACCTGCCCTCCTCGCTCGCTCACTCTGTCGCACCCCCCTCCTCTATCTCTCTCTCTTTTGTCTCTCGCATCTCTGCAGCTCACAACCAGCAGCACCGAGCAGAGGGAGGAGGTGGAGGAGGAGCAGCACGGTGTATCTGACACCTACAGTCCCGCGCGTCGCAGCCCCTCGTCTCTCGCACAAACATCCCGGACTGGCTGCCACGGGCGCCTCCTCCTCTCCCGTGGCTGTGTGTGTGTGAGAGTGAGTGAGTGTGTATGTGTGTGTTTTAGTTAAGAGGAGTGGAGTTTGAACGGGACACGTTGCTTTTGTTTGTTCGCAGACCCCCCGCCTCCCCCCAAACTCTGAAGAATAATAACCAACATAATATTAAAAAAGAGAAAAGGCAACTAAACACTGTGGATAAGAGTCTAATCCAAAAACTGTCGGGGATTTTCTGCGTGTGAGGAAAAAGGACTACACCTCCAAAGATGCGTCTGCCGGTGCTTCTCTGTGTGCTGGTGAGTCTGTGTGCCGCACCGGGCCCGGTGGCCGGGGCGGATAGAAGCTGCTCCGACCTGCGGCAGTTCTACACCGGGAAAGGGTTCACTTCGGAAAGGGTTCCTCAGACTGAGATCTCCGGTGAGTTTTTTTTTGTTTGTTTTTTGTAGTTGTTTTTTAAATTCATTAATTGTTTTGGTGGGGGGTAACAAAGAGGACAACACTTAACGCACTCCACAGGAACGATAAAGTCGAGTTTTTGTATCATAATTTTTTTTTTTTTAAATTTCAGATCGCTCCAACTATTACAGCATGTTGTGACATAATTCTTAAATGACTCCCCCCCCCCGTGCCTTGCCTTATTTTGTGGGATTCTTGAGCGGCTGTTCAGGATGCCATTCTGTTGCATTATACATAGTCTGTGCTAGATCATTTTTATTCATAAACATTGAGTGCTTTATTGTGGTTTGCGTGAATGGGAATTCCATCTATGTTAATAAATCAGCTTAAGGTTTCTTTTTCTTTTTAAAAAAAGAAATGTTCCCAAAGGGCAGCTTTGCTGAGGGTTTATTATTATGCTGCATCCCAGTTCGTGTGTCTCATTGTGCGTCTGTTCAGCCTCTCTGTGCACTCTTATACACCCCCCTCATTCAGCATCTCAGTGTTTCCCAGTCTACAGTCCTTCAGGGTATGCTCATTGTCTGCTGAGGGCAGAAATGCAGGTGGGTGTGAGCCATGTGTCTTGTGGAGCCGTTCCAATCTATTCATTGTTTTTATATATTTGTGTTTGCTGGTGTTTGTGCTCCAGGTGTGAAGAACTGTTAATATAACCTAGAGGGGGCGGATGCAGACTTGTGTCCCGGGGCATTTTTCATTGTCTACCTTGCTGTGGATGGACTGCAGGTGTAGTGTGTGTGTGTGTGTGTGTGTGTGTGTGTGTGTGTGTGTGTGTGAGACCCAGTAGATGCTGGAATTTGCATAAACTAATAATTTAGGCTCGCCTGGGGCAATATCCAATCACAGCTCTAGCTACAGCTCAGCGATCGCACAACATAAGCTGCCGATGAGCTGAATAAAAGAAGACGTGGTTTACACTCATTTTACTTCTTTTGTTTCATTCCTGTACTCTCATCGTGTCAGTCAGTCATCCAACTAGTCAGGCAATCATGCATTTAGTCAATCAGTGAATTACCCAGGCAGTGAAAGTAATCAGTTAGCCTGATCTCTCGTCTGTCAGTCAGACAGCACACATCAAAGTCTCTCTATCTTGTCTCTTTGGCTGCTGCAAACCATAAATGCAGATTAAAAGTGTCTTGGCCTTGGGGAAAGTGAAATTGAGCTCTTGTCCCCTTTAAGGCAATCATCTGTCAGCCTCTGTCTCCTCCCTTATTTCACCTAAAGATGGACAGACAGCAGCGAGCGTGCAGAGGAGATGAAAGCGAGGGGAGAGCAAGGTGTGTTTGTGTGCTCAGCGTCTGCGATCTGAAGGTCATTTTGTGTTGTGTCAGTGGAAATGCACACTTATGGGCGGCTGAGTTATTAATATTGGATGTGTGTGTGTGTGTGTGTGTGTGAATCAGACAGAAACCAGAAAATAGATAACAGTGAGGCAAAGAATGTGAAAATAGAGAGAAAAGGAAAGAAGGGGGAGAAAAACCCACAACCAGAGACAGTGAGTGAGTCACTCAAGGTCTGTCTGTCTGTGTTTAGTGGAAGACTGTGAAAGAGACTCGACACGACATTTTCCCTCCTCTTCCATTAAAAGCTCATCTTTTATTGACAGATGAAGAACACAATGCTTCAGTCTCTTGGACCTTGAGCTGCTCTAGTTATTTGCGCAAGAGTTCTGCCTCCCCAGAACTCATTAAAACTGACGACCAGTTGGGCACAGAGATGTGGGAAGATTTCCCCACAACAGGGGCTTTTCAGTCCTTCTCATTTCAGGGACCTTAGGTGGGTCAATTTAGATTATCTGGCCCTCCGCACTCTGGAGGATGTCCAACCTGAGAACAAAACATTAATACAGTCTATTGGAAAAACACAGTAGATACAACACAACAAATTCATTTTGTTTACTTCCATACCTCTTCTGCACACTAGGAATGTTAAATGTTTGATACAATATATTGTCTCTTTGTTTCATTGTTTGCACTCTGGATTGGTTTTCAAGCATGCATTACAGTAATGCAGACAAACCCTCGCCATACAGGTCATAATGAAGTTATACAAAAAAAAGTCCTCCGGGAAAACCGACGACGTGATCGTCATAAGCAATATTTGGTCATTTAGCACACTGAGTCTTACTTACCATCCTAATGTATTTATTATCTCTCAGGGCAGTAAACACAAGCCAAATATCTAAGCCCTGTGGCCTTCCTGCGCATGCAGCAGACTCGCATCTGGATGAACAAACACTTTCCTAATGATATGGGACAAGACCCAGCTGTTGCTAATCATAAGCAGTTCACAGTTAGCGTTATCTGCAGAGCATAACAATGTTTGGGAAGTGTAATTCAGCTAGAAGACTTCCCTGGGTGACAAATCAGTATATTAGTACCGGTACATAGATTCAGCAAATAAAATGGAGTTTTGTGCCCAGAAACGAGTACTAACAGCAGCACCTACCCAACTGAACCAGAAGCATACCTGAATTCAGAGAATATCAGCATGTTTTAGCCAACATTCATGTTCCCTACAGGATGGGTTTTAATAACGCTGGGAAGCCCCAGACTTAGGATTTAGTGCCATCGTCAGGTCAAAAGTGAGAGCAAATGATGTTCCTATCAACTTCACTTTCTGTTACGGTCTAATTAGAAAGGTTTCTTGTTAGTTACGCTAAGATAATGAACATTTTTGAATTCAGTGTTTAGTACATTGGACTCTTTTGCAATGTTGCATACATTTAGTGGCAAATTTGTAAGTAGGGCTTGATGAGGTGACCCTGAAACACCCCTTAATTATGCTGCTATAGGCTCAGATTGCTGGGAGCATAAACTATGTCTTCTTGTGTTCCCCTTGTATCACTCCATAAGCATAGTTCATCCTTGTCTCTCTATGCTCTCCTTTTTTCTTCGCTTTCCCCTCCCCCTCAGCTGGTTGTGGTCGATGGCTAATGTCACTCAGGTTAGTTCTCTTCCTGTGAAAATATGTTGTTTAAATATGTACAAAAACAGTCACCTCAAGGCATAAGGTAAAGACTCTATTAATATTAGAGCGAAAAACCCTACAAATCACTCGCCACAATCAAGGTAATCGCAACATAGACAGATGGATGGATCGATGTGTAGATGAAAGTTTTGTTTGCTTTTTCTCCCCATAATCTCGTTCACATGGATTTTCACAGGTGAGTAACACCAACCTGCGATTGAATGACGCGTATTTAGCTGCTTCATCTATTTCTCCAAACCAGCACAAACGTAAATGGCAAGAAGTCCAGTTTTCACAATGAATGCAAAGAAAAAAGCCAAAATGTCAGCCCTGAATGGAAGGATTTAAATTGTGCAATTTATTTGTTCAACCTTGATGTAACCAGGAAGTCCCATTGAGAACCAGTCTCTTTCACAGGGCAGCCATGCAAAGTGAAAACAATGAGTGAAATGAATGAAAAATTGTAGTGGCTTGTAGCTTTATCTAGATCTCTAGGTTTGTATTTAAAATCTAGAAAACATTCAGAAAATAATCATGTTTTTTCCAGGATTAAACATGTGAGAAAATCATAGTTCCAGAGTAAAATCTGTGTAACACGAGGAACAGATGCTTTACATTTTTACCCTGAATTTAAAAAAAGAAAACCCAAAATGACTCTTAGACTCTGCTGACATCCATTGTCCTTTAGGTTTTACACCATATGAATGGAAGTCGTCTTTCCTGATGTCTGCCTGTCTGTGTTTTTGCCTGCAAGCGTTTTTTTCTCTTCTTGTTATACAATGTATCCTTCACCTGGTCAATAGTTAAAGGCCAGCTCATCCTATAGCCTGTGTGTGTATCTGTCTATGTGTGTGTGTTTAAAAGTCAGTGAAAGCCAACACCTTCTTCAAGGAAGACACCAAGTTTCATTCACAAATGCTTTGTCTGCGCAGAGCAGCACACACCCATGTGATCGAGTGACACACAGAAACAGATACAGCGTATATAACCTGCGCAATTCACAGGTATTGAGTTTTGATGCGTTTGTGTCGGTGTGCGTGGGTTTGTGTGGCCTACATTTTGAGTATTTGTTACATTATTTGAATGTTTGAAAGACAATATGGGAGGAGCTGAAAAGTTATGTGTTGGTACTCTGTGCAAAATGCTAATAAAATGTAGTGCAAGGACTGAAGCTAGCAAACATATTTCAAAACGTTTTTGTGTGTGAAAATGAAAACAAAATGTTTTCAATTATTTTGTTTTATTTAAGTAAAACTGGACATTTTACATGGCGTCTCAACTTTTTTTGGACACCTCAGAAGTCAGATGAGTGCAGTGCCAGGCTTTAGTTTCTTTATTTTAAATCCAGCTTTCGTCACTATTTGTTTAAAATGTAATTATTTCTCATCCTTTCCATTGGAGCTGGCGGCACTAATTCTCTGCTTGGTTGCATTGATACCGTCGCTAAAGAATATGAGCTTAATTCATGAACCCAATTAGAGAAATTATGCAGTCTCATACTGAAGCTTGTCTATATTATTTAGCTGACTGGTCTTTCCACCAGGAAAAATATCAGTGTGCATCAGTGTTGTCACGATACTGGAATTCCCAGGAAAATAGCCGATGTTCAATTTCAGTTTCAAAACTACAGGATAAAGATAAAAAAGAACGAAAGAAAAACAAAAAACCGACAGAAAAAATAACAACAGTATTTTTAATTGCTAATTGCTAATTGCTAGCAGCTCAAAGGCATTAACATGTACACAGGCCAGATTAACATTCATGATAACTGTATATACTTCGGGGGGGGGGGATTTAGGAAAGGAAGCTTTATTGACCTCTAGTAGTGCTCATAAAGTGTTGTAACATCATGCTAATATCATGCTAACCTCATGCTAACCTCATGCTAACATGACTGAGCGTCAGTCACCGTTCATGTCTGCAGCTGTTGGTGAGGAGAGGAGGCGAACACGTGACTGTTGCAAATAATAACTGCCCAGTAATTTTTTTGTATT